TTCTCAACGCTAAGAAAAACAAAACTTATAAAACAGCCAATGCCGATCAGTAACCAGACATGATTATTGTGAGCGAAATTGAAGAGAATATAGAAAGAAACGAATAATTCGGCTCAACCATCACAAGAGACAGGATTTTTTTAAAAACAATAAAAAGACAGCATAGCAATGTAAAAAAAAAAAAACAGAACAAAAAAAATCTATGACAAGGTACAATTTCAGAAACAAAACTCAAGTTTGTACAAGCATGGATATCCTCATACTCATTAATATCTATGGATGTGAAAACTAGATAGTAAACAAGACAGCAGAAAAAGTAATAATCTAATTTAATTAAGCTAAAGTGCTTTTAAAGGCAATAAAAAAAAGGTGCCATGAGCTCAAAAGAAAACCAATGTCTCAAATCTGAAAACAGTAAAAGTAGAAGTTAACAGGCTCGATCCTTGACTTCATGGAATCCAATATACCAGAGCCCTTTAAAAAAAAAAAAAATCAAAAGTGATATCTTGTACATCACTTGGTCATTATATAAAAACTAAAGAACCTATTTTGATAGTCCTTCATCTAATGAATGAACTCATCCTGGTAAAAGAGATATGTTTTCAGAAATTGCCGAAAACTAAAATTGAAGCGGTGTCAAAGTCGTCATAAAGAAACATGTCCGAGCCGGCTCACCAGCACAGCGGTTCCGACCACGAGCTGCTGGGAGCGTCTTGTCTGAGATAAAGAGTTAATACAATCAGGACAAGAAGAATGAAAAAGCTTTTGTCACATCAAGAGGGCACAGAAGTTTCTGAAGGAAGGCTACACATCTGAAGGAAAAGTTTCTGGGGTAAAAAATGGCTAAGGATACCCAAATAAAAATTAAATAATTGCATTTATATAGTGCATACTCTCTACAGCATGCTCTAAGCACTTCTATTTTTACCCCAGCACACCCTATAGCATGACTCAGAAACATTCTTAGCTTCCCGACAAACATACAGTGCAAGACGCGGATTGCATATGCTCGAATACTAACAAACTGACAATATTTTTTGTTATCTATACCCGGGTAACCATTGCCACCTTGGTAAAGTGAGGAAAATTTTTTAAAAATGCCTTTGCAAGGACACATTGTTAGGCCCCTGGTGGGATTTGAACTCAGGACCTTGTGAGTCTAAGAGCCTAACTACTTGGCCGCCAACGCCATGTGGAGATGGAGTGGGTTTTCTGCTGGGAGGTATCCTTTTCAGCCTGGGTTGGCCCTGATTGGCAGGGTCAGAAACCCCCCTCCTAAATGATATAAATTGTATCAATGGGAACATTAAGAAAGGGGGGGGGGGGTTGCGGCAGCTAGAAATGTCGGTTTGGGGTCAAATTACTGAAAATGAGATAATTGCACTTTAAAATTCCTGGACATGTCCTGAACAATATATCTAGAAAAGTACGCAGGCCTCCCTGCACCTTTAAGTGGTGTTTGGGGAGATTTTAGATAGTAGGGTCGAGTCTGTTTCAGAAAATTTTCGCCAATTTTGTTTTTTAAAAAGCACACTATTTTTTCACGGTTGGTAGGCCTACTATTTTTCTGCTCTATTTCTGACTCGATTTCAATAAAATTTTAACGGAATGTTAAAACAGGTATCATTTGAATAAATCGGCCCTTTTGCACAGCGTGTGCTTGGTAGAGTTCAGTGAATTTTCCTGGAATTTTCCAGCAATTCTTTGGTATCAAAGAAAAGAAAATGCCTCTCATTTGAAAAACCAAACTACTTTTGATTCAGAAAGTCAAACACATTATACATTACTTGCTCGGCAGTGCCTGTAATTATCAACACACTAACCTCATTTATTTGCCATAACGAGCACTCGGAATCAACGAAACTGAAGGTCAAGCCCGACGACTTCATTGAATCCGAGTTCCACTGTAAAAGCGCTGTTTTATACATATGGCCATTAGAGTGTTTGATGCTACATTACCATTTTGAATAAAGAAAAAGGCATGGTTCAAATTTTGTTTTTAAAAAACACAAAAAAACCACAACAAAAAAACATACAAAAATGTCTTATTAGTTAAATAGATTAGTTCATATGAGGCAAAGACCATATTATTGTGACTCATGGGCCATAGATATTGAAAATTTTTAAGTAGGCCTACTTACTGGAGCCTGAGACAGATGACAAGCTTCATCTCAAGTCTGACCCAGTTCGACTTGACATCAAAACTGCCTTTACCATATTATATAATTTGTACAGGAAACTGTAAGATCTACACTCAATTCATAAGGACCATAAAACCTTACTAAAATAAAACAATAATAGGCCTAATAATAATGATAACAGGAATAAAAATAATTATACTTGTCCTCAAAGTAAGATACAGCTCAAAGGACTTGAAAACACATTTCTTTAGTAAGCAAAATAAAGATACCTTTTGTTGTGTAAGAAGAGTAGCCTACTAAGACTGGTGTCTGGGCTATAATTTGGGCATCACGAAAAAAACAAAGTCAAATAAAACTTCGAAATCGTAGGGCCTACTTCAAAACTGAATCAAAACTTCTGATTTTCGGTGGAAACGTTTGATCCGGAAGTCAACATTATATTAAAACCTTTATTTTGAAACGGATATACGTGGATCGGAATAAAATCCAAGCTAAAATTATAGGTTGGTTCTCAAGCCGTCGGGGACTGCTTAAATGCCATTGTGAAGTCACTTTTTCCGCCCTGCTTCCCATGGCTCGGCGTAGCGAATGAGTTAATCTGTGATACAATGTATAAGTTTCCTGTGCTAAAAAAATCTTAAGTCGAAATTCAAATTCTAAATGTTGAAAAAAGCAATCAAAAATACATAATATTAGACAATAATTTGTTAAAAGAAAGAAACAGTTGTTTCTTTCCTTCTCCTAAAATATTTTGTTATATGGGCTTAGTCAACTTGCATTTTTTAAAAGCTGGTCAACAATTTGTTACAAAACAGTCCATCGTGCACATGGCGAATCTGCATGAAGTGAAAAATGCACGAAGCGCACAGATTCTCATGCTCCAAATTTCTTTTTCTTTTTTTGGGGAGGAAAGTGTTTTTACCACGCTCGTAACTGCATAAGGTCATATGAGCACGCGGGACACATTAAACTTTTTTTCAGTTGGTAGTAAATTTTGAATTTTACCCAGGCGGCTGCTGAAGCCTACTCTTATGGATTTTAGACCACCAAGGGATCTTTAACGTGCGTAACTTGCACACTAGCTCTCCGAGA